AAATTTTCTCTATCAGCCCACCCTATGCCCTATGCAAAATTTTTTACCCATAACTTATCCATCAAAAGGCATAAGTTGGCTTTTACGCGAATGTGAATTAGTTACTATTATTAACGCCACATTAACTCATTTGAGTGCCACTTAAAGAATACTTACGAGAGCCACAGTCCTCAAAGCAACCACACAGTCCAGAGCTCCAATTCCGTTGTGCCTTTTGAACCACTACTGATTGCTGATTCAACACTACAGTGGTATTGCTAGTCTGTTGTGCATACGGTGCCGGTTGTTGAGTTACCACTGGATACTGACCCGGGAGGTACCCCGGTGGATACATCGCTTGCTCTGGGGAATACGGTTGAGCCGTGGGTGGTGCAGTGGGTGGGGGATCCATTATTTAGGCTCTGAAAGGAAAAGTTATTTTAAAACAAAAATCAACGGTATAAAAGAAACTTGGAGTTTCGATGGCTCCATGTCATCTTAAGGGAGTTATAGCTCGTTCGGAAGTGAGCCTTTTTCTCTTTTAATATGCCTTCACGCTACCAAATTTGTATTGCTAAGTGTCTTTTCGATTTGACCAAAAATTTGTTCAAAATCTGGCTCAAGAGTACAAAAAAGTCCACTTCCGGTTGACGAACGCTGCTCAAACAAATCGGTGCTTTAAGCTCCCTATTACCAAAAGATGAGAAATTAACATGATTCGTGGAAATATATATAGAAAAAGAAAGTGAGAAAAGTACATGTAAAATTTAAGCGTGAAAATGGACAAATAACAAATAAATTAAGGTGTCGCACGAATGGAATTAAAATCCTCAAGAGATGCAGAGGGAAACTAGAGTGTCTGATTTTCGAGATGTTAATCATCCGAGATAAAAGATCCACGCTCAAGCGGACTCCATTAGTACACAACTAAAACACACTGAACGCATGGTGAGTATTGAAGAGCCAGTTTGGAAGAGCACTTATTGCGTAATACTCTGGAATCATAACCACAATCGTTTTTTCGAAGTATCGTTACGTCATGGTACTGCCGGTACAGTTATAAAACTTCACTTCTTTCGAGTATCCAACTGAATAAAATTAAATGAACAGGCGTTTAAATACAACAGCCAGCGCGGTGAATACAACCCAGATTATAGCTCAACCGTTTGAGACCTCTTTTGTAGAAATGCTCATGGTGAATTAGACCAGTTGTAAAGTTTCAGTCTTGTGCAGTCTTGCAATCGAAATAACCAAAAAAAATTGGCCTTTGTTTCGCATCAATTCATTGTGAAAATTGTCGTGATATAGGAAACCAAATCCAGTCGAACCTCCATTTACGACCAACTCTCGTAAGCGACCACCTCCCTTAAGCGACCACTTATCCAAAACACAAAACTTTTTCCAGTCAAAGCCTGTTGGAACCTCTTGTAAACGACCACCTCCTGTATACGTAAAAGGCCGCGACCACTTTTTGGTGCTGAGGGTTTTATAATTTTCTATAGTTTTTAACCTCTTGCAAGCGACCAATTGATATATAGTCTGATCTCTATGTTCGCTCTATTTACTATGCTACTCAAAAAATACGAAGAGCTTTTAGTGACAACATGGAACTACACATATAGTATCTTAGAATTAGCTTGCAATAAATTATTCTCGATAAAGTATATATATATGCTTTCGGTGGACCTCTTCCCGAAAAGATCCCCTGTGGTTGTTTGATTGTCGTAAGCAGCCGCACCTCCCGTAGGCTACCACTAAATCTTCGCATGGATTAGGTGATCATTCAGTACGGGAGGTTTGACTATACTGACTTCACACATCAAATGGATAAGGGCGAGGTTCTCGGTTAGATATTCTTTCCGACACTGTTCTTTTTCTAATCACTTGCAAAAAACACTTACAAAACAGCATATTAAGCATATATAGGGGCACCCGATGGATCTGTTCCTCAAAATATCTTTTCTTTCAGTCAAATTTTTTCCTGGCTGGGAGATTTGGAAAAAATTATATGTCCTTGGAAGGAAAGTGTTGCTGGGAAATAGACCATTCAGGTTGTCTGAGCTAGCTCAACCTGATGATGATGAGGGGATTTGGTATCTAGAATAGCTGCTATTTGCTATTTTCAGAAGCCTCTTTCCCCTCCCCGCTACTGTGGGGTGAATTTCGCCCTTAGGCCCCCCTCCCACCCCCACTGAGGGGCTGAATTTTGCCCTATGACCACACCCAAGCTGGCCAGTAATGTCTGCATACAAAGATGGGTTCCTTTTAAACTTTTTTCTTTTACATTTATGTCAGAAAAATTTACTCCCTTATTTTATACAAGAATGTTTGTTTTTCCGGTCCAGGCTGTATATTCTTGTTTTTCTGCCCATTTAAGGCTGAAAATTCTTGTATTATTCTTAAATTAACCTAAGGAGGCACTGTCCATAAGTATTGCAGGTACCTTTCATCGAACTGTTATTAGCATTGAACTGATTTGGCTTTACTTAGTGCTGTTTTTTTCGTTTTGTAGGCTAGTTTCAGGGACACCCAACAACGGTTTGCTCCTTAATACATTGAAAACACTATTTAAGCTATCCACAGTACTTTTAGATGTCTAGAAATGCATTTTAAGCGGCACTATAAAAATTGTATCTGTTGGGTCTTCCCGAAGGGAAACTTGAGCCTTTTCGAAAGTATTATTTTCCCGAATATTTTAGATGCAATTTGAAGTATTACGAACGTGAAACATTTTCTGATTTCTCACTCTACTGCATTTTTTAGTCCGAAAATTTGAGGCTTCCTTTTCTCTACGAAAAATAGCCTAACTTAAGGAGTGAAATGTGAAAATTAAACTTCAGAAAATCGTAGGGAATTTGTTAGATACAGTAAAAACCTACATATAAGAACCTACAATTTAAGAACCTGTTAGGCTAAAATTTTCATTTTGAACCCCCTTTTCATAAGAACCTATTTAGCCTAAAATTTTCAATAGGTTCTTATTTTACAAAAATGCAGGCAGTCGAGATTAAAATACAGCCGGAAAAAATATTAAATCTAAGTTTCAGTCAGTATGATTCAAAATGTAACACGGCATTTTATGGATACTACAGCATGAAAGACATGCATGCAAGTACTTTGGAAAGATAAAATTACTGCATGTTATCATCTAAATTGTATTCTAGATAATTATTTAATACAGCAACATATTCCATATCACATATGCCCTGTAGTATAGTTATCTGTGCTGATCGCTGGTGCCCCTATCAAAATTTAGAACCCATTTAAGAACCTAAGTAGCCTAAAATCCCACTAAATACCATTTCTGTAAGAATCTATTTAGGCTAAGTTGGAAAAATCTAGGTTCTTATACGTGGGTGTTTACTGTAAGCTTCGAAAGTTCATGAGTGGAACTTTCATCTAGAAATTTTTAGCCGTCCTCAGGCAATAGAAAATTCTACGCAATATTTGTTTCTCCGAACAGATATTTTAAAGAAAACAGTCGTTGGTAACCTGAGATCAGGCCCAATTTGAGCGGTTCTCATACATTCTCTCTAACGTTGCCCGCCGGAATGTAATTTTCAAAGCGAAACGAAAATAGAGCCTGATCTCAGGTTAAGTCGATGGGTGCCCCTGTAGTTTTGCCGTTTAGAGAAAGGAGTAATTTTATTAGTTACTTAAAACACATGCATAACTCATTGCATTTTATCAACAGATTTTCAACACAAAAATTATGTCCTTTTCAAAATCTCAGCCTCGGGTTTATTCTTAAAATATTCTTAAATTCGCAAATTTCAGCCGCGATATTTTCATAAAATGTGTTCTTATGGAAAAAAGAGAGTATAATCGATTTTGTCAAAGCCCTCGAGCACCGAACGAGCCATAGAAACATCGCACGCGTAATGTTCTTTGAGGGGTTTAGTCGTAAGCCACAAAAGAACTGCAAAAAAATAGAAATTAGGGATTCATTTACTTACTTAAGAGATACGATGATTCTTTTTGAGATTGTTATGTTCAGCAAGCTCTTGAAGTCCCTTGCTTTGGTTCCACAGTCTCTCTTAGCTTGTTGTTCGCCAAACACACGGAAGGACGCTTTCTGTCAGAGTTTCCGGGAATTCTAGTAATCCTCCGTCGCCCCGGGGCAGGGGGGAGACCATTATACAAAAGACAAGGAGATGTTAGTCGGACAATATGAATTAATTATAAGCCCCAGTAGGAGGCCATTCTGGGCTTTACTTGCACATAATGGAGGAGAACATAATGCAATAGCCAATCAAATAAGAGCTAATAATAATAATAACAATAATATTTAATACTTCTATAGCGCATTTTAACATAGGTATATGATGAAATGCGACTTATATAGATGAGACTTATATAGAACAAAAGTTATGCTGCCTACTGTATTGAAACTATTTACAGTCAATTGCTTCATTAGTAATTTAACATGACTAAAACGGAGTAAGAGATAAAAAAGGAAATATAAGAGTGGAAAATAGAGAAACCTCGGAAAACTTAAACAAAGTCAACGTAGGCATAGTGGTTCTCTAACAGCTACAGTGATATTGATTTCGTTAAAGGATGTTTCTTTGTTGTTTCTTTTTAATATGAAGATATTTCTTTACGTGAAACTTACTGAAATTCTGTAATTTACACCTCTTAGGGAGATGACAAGCCCCTCGTCTCTTTTGAATATAAGTCCCCCCGGATCAGCCCTAGTCAAATGGCGTCATACAATTCAGGAATTTGACCACTATGAACTTGTAAATATAAATAGGATCACAATCTCTAATTTACATGTTGAGTGACACGCGTTTATATTGTAGCATGTTCCACATGTTCAGAGTTGGGCAGTTAATAGAGGACAAAAATAGCAGCGAAAATGGCGCTGGAAAAACATCGAGGAAGCTATCCACTCCCCTCTGATCCCACCTACAGCCGACTCCCGATAACTCGAACCTCACGCTAACTCGAACCAAAATCGATTTCCCCAGGATTTCCGTCATACATTCACTGTAAACTCGAACCCTCGATAACTCGAA